CAGGTTCTCAGGCTGCACTTCCATATGTTTTATCATTTGTGGGTTTCTTTCCTAGCGATCAAGAAACTTGGTGCTCTTCCCGGAAATGGAAGTGGGAACACTAAATCGTTAAACATTGCGAATTAAACAGAGGTGCAAAGGGAAATTTAAAAGGAGTAGACAAAGTTATTGCATAAAAGTGCTCATGCATGGCAGTGAAGTTACTTTATGGAGCAGTGGTACTATAGTTGCCTGTACTAATGCATTCCACTTAGGTCGCACTCCAACCGCACTAAACTGGGAAGAAGGATGAAAAACGAGCACCAAAAATACTTCTGTTCTCAATAGTTCCTTAATTATGTAGTACACAAAAGCTCTAATCTAATTGACCTTCATTGGTCATTTCGGAGGGGTTTACCTAGGCCTCCCAATTTGCTCGCCTTATCACCACCGGTTTCTTGCGCAAGTCAGGTATCGATCGCGCCATGAGGGCACTTCGTTCGGTTTCTCGGCGAAATCATTCCTCCGTAATGCCTGGACTTCAATTCAGCAATTAGAAGAGCTTCCAGCCCATTCTTTGTAGATGTGGGATGTGTCAACAATTTCTTCTACTACCCTTTTTCAAATGCAAAACTATCTAAACTGTTATCGAAATGGTTTCATCTTCAGATGGGTGAATTCGTAATTTTGATCTAAGAATTCCAATTTGAAACGAAGACTACTCTTGTGTTTTATTGAATGTTCAGATTCCTTCCAAAGCCGAAGGCCCCTGAACTTATGTTCGTGCTTTTTCAATTAATAACTTTAACTCATCATTTTTCAGTCTTAAGAAGTCTGCAACTGTAGCTCATATCGTTCAAGATTTGCGACGTAATCGGTAGGAAAACTTCGTCAACTTGTCTGCTTTATTACTCAGTATTAACCTTTTTCTGACTGTTTTCTGCCTCGCAGTGGTCTTGAATTTACTCGCTCGCTGGATTGAATTACGAGGAACGGGACTTTCTCTACATTTCTTGCATTTTTCAGTTATAATGTCTGATAAAGGCAATGGTCCTCCAAAACAGGATCCTAAAGATGTCGACGGTCTGAGCGAACTGCTTGACGATGCTCTCAAAGGGTTTTCAGAGTGAGTCCGTTTTCAAAACCCTCACTGTTTTCTTTTGGGAACTAAAACTGGCGCTATCGCAATATAGGGGCACTGCGGTGGCAGTGCATTTAGGATTGCGTAAAGCGTGTCTCTTTTGAAGGCGGGTTGAAGCCTTAGGCAGGGGTTGAGGAACTCCAAAGTGCTTAGCCATTTTCGTTTTTCCTAGGCTCAGTCAAACAAAAGTTGCCCTTATCCTTATGATACCTTCTGCATGGCGAATCGCGGCCACAAACAGCAGTTGACAACCAAAAACGAGTCGAAATTGATATCGGGATAATGTTTTGGAATTTTTTTTCGTTTTTCAATCTCCCAGGAAGCTAATGTAGTCTGCATTTCAGTCGTCCGCGAACTACTGATGACGAGTTGGACGAGATCATGGCTTCACATGACAGCCGAGCCTCAAAGGCTGCAGCGACTTCCGCAGTATGCTTCAGAAAATCAACGGTAAAAAGTTCAGAGGATGGTGAGGAGGACCAGCAATCTTATTCTTTTCTAAAGATTATTCATGATTTAGTGATAGTAATTGCTTCAGTAAACATGACACTGTGAGATTACTTTCTGTAGAGTAGTAGCCCAGTTCTGATTTTCACAAGTTTTTTGAAATGTGATATCGTTCATTTCCACTACAGTTTCTTAGCTTTTAGGAAGCTTTGCGCCAAGCCGAAACCAGTGGGCAGCAGGTCACTGAAATCGATAAGGAAGCCCAGGACATGATTGAGGCTATGAAAGCGCTAATGGAAAGCAGTGGAAAGGTCAGTTGATTTCCGTTCGTGTTGCCTAATGTAGCGCTATTTCTGGTGCCGGAGCACCAGTGTAGGTTAAAAACGCTAGCAGTCGGTTAGTGCTCCCTCTTTTCATTGGAAGGCACGAACATTATCTTTACACGTGACAGAGTTTAGATGAGGAGCTGCTTCACTATCGCTTACTGTTGTACCTTCGGAAATGACTTTCTGAACAGCTATGTAAGCCTGAGTACTAGGCCTTAGGCTTACTACATATAAAATGAGTCTCGTTAGAAATTTTCATCCTTTTTAGCCCGCTAGGAGTGGGAAGTCGTTCGCTGAAGACGGTGAATTTACCTTTGGCAGTGCGAAAATTTTCTCTGCGAGAACTCAGGTCACTCATGATCAGCGAGCTGAGGTTTCAGCAGCAAACAAAATTTTCGCGCTGCGAAGCGGAAAAAAATCGCTCTTCATCCTAGCGAACCCCTTTCCCCACGAGCATAGGCATCACTACGAAAAGAGCGGCTGAGTGGGAAGAAAAGTGTGACTAAGTGGGAGCTTTAACATCTCTGCCTCAATAAATTAGCAGTGGTTTAGTGCTAAAGTCGGGTGTTGTAGAAGAATGTTCATTTATTTCGCATCTCATCCAAAGTTGTGTTTGGTCTGACACTGACCGGCACAAGTGCTGGGTCATCTGGAGAAAGTTAGTTTTGATCAGAAACTTCTGCCCACGTTGACAACGTCCGTATCCAGCATTCACGGTCACCATTTGGGGCTCTCAACATTCCTAAAGAAGCTGACCATAATTATCACTTCGCAGCTAATTTTTCATGCATTCAAGACCGAACCCATAGTCTTCCTCCATCCTGATTTAATGTGTAAAAAAATTGTGCAAACTCGCTTTTTGAATATGCTGCATTTCAAGGTTTCGAAAAAGAGTTGGTGAATGATTCAAAGTAACAACATCAGTATATTTGGACAACGAGAAATTCGTTTTTCATTGATATTATACATGACGGTAGTTCAATATAAATCAATTCATCAGAACTAAAGTATTTAAAATGAGGTACACAAACACAAAAATCTCCGCAGTGAGATTTCTGAAGCGAGTGTAGTGTGAGGAGATTCTAAAAAGCAAAAGGGGGAAGCACTTGTGACAAGTGTAACAACGAGGTCAACAAAAGTCTCTTTGCACTACTACGTGGTGCAAACCCTTCAATCTTGACTGATGTCATCGTTCCATCCATTCATATGAGATGTGTGGTCTCGGCGGTTACATATGTGCTTTAATTGATGTCGAGTTTGAATTCAGTATCTCACATCAGAAGCGATTCAATATGAGGTGAAAATTTTCAGATTGCCAATGCCAGCAGTCATGATGACTTCGTAGCCGGTCTCGATATGCTGAAAGGACCAGGCTCCCCGATGGAGCCCTTCATGTCTATGATCCTTCAGGTACAGTTTTGGTTTTCTATATACAGGGGTTTTCTCATGTAGTCTGCAGTGTAATGTGGTTGAATCTTCAAGGATGTTCCGCAAGCGATAATCAAAAAGTAAAGAATCTGGGCTCTTGTGAACTGCAACGTTGAGCAACGGAGGGTGACTAATGATTAAGTTTTAAGTCTGATTTTCCTGCCACTAGGTTGTCTTTTTGATTTTTCTGTTCTCTTGTAACGTATTGAAATGCAGCGATCGTTTCTGGCAGCTGATAAAACTTTGGGAATAGCATTGCCGAGCCCTCATCAAGTTGACCATTATCTAGAGAACGAGAATTGCAATAGGATGAAGAGTGGAGGGTTTGACCGAGACTAGAGTGCCGGAGTCCCATGATTCTCACTAAATTCTGTTTTGTACGTTGTTGGTGTCTTATAATTCCTCATAAGAATCAGGGTGAGCATTTCGTTGAGGAAGTGGCTGCTGCAGTACGACCCTTCATCTCTAATGGAGGTATCCGCACGATCACTTATTCTTCCTCCCATATGATTCATGGTATCAATAGTATCGTTGAACCCAGTTTCTTTTGAAACGGGTACTCCACCTCCAAAATTACCGTTCTATATGTGACCGTCGAGTAGCCAGGTTCACGTTCTACGGAGCTTCCCTTCCTACGGAGATTCTTTTCCTATCTACCCTACCCTCCCCCTCCCTACCTTCTGTCTTATAGGGCGCATTCATGGTCGGTCGTCAGATCGTAGCGATCGTTACGATTGGACGACTGACTATGAGTGCGCCCGTACAGCGCCTGAAACACCTTCCTTTGAGGAAAATACTACTTCGTGGAACAAACTCTTCGTCGTGGTCTTGAGTTAGGTTAAACGGCAATCGCACTTTCTCAAACATTTGATATGCAACTATCCAAAACCCGACTATATCCCAAAGTGGCAAGAAAATCCTTGCGTTAGAACTGTCCGAACGTGCAGTTGACCTTCGTAAAATTCCCAACTCGAGTGTATATGGGGAGCGAGCGGTGGAGTGGACATTGGTGGTGCAGAACACTTGAGACATTTCTAACTATGACAAACATTTTCATCTTCATGCTCAATTAATCACCTTTTTGCACAAGCAAAATAGTTTGCCAACCCTTCTCTTTACTATTCTGGACTTGATTTTTGCTCGCGGAGATATACATTGCCCCTAAATCTCTCTCCTCCTCCTCTCTCTCCCCTTACACCATTCCTTTACCACACTTGCTCCGGAATTTCTTAATTTCCAATGTCCTCTTCATTGGGCCGCTTCTCATCCTAAATGCTGTCGCGTGCCTGTAATAGTTGATACTTAGCATTTGTTTACCATCCGATTTTTATTTTTCGGAATGGATATTCGAAGCGAAAGTGTGGATTATAAAGGTTTTACCGGGATTACGCTGTAGCGCATCTCCTGTTGAAACTAGTCTTTTGTTGTTGTTTTGGATAGATATAGCACGATAATGCCATGCTGATTGAAAACATTTGATTCAGACGTTGGCATCCAAAGCTGTGATGTATCCCCCTCTGAAAGAGATTCACGACAATTATCCTGGATTCTTCAAGGAACATGGTGCATCACTCGACAAAGAAACTCGACAGCGATATGAGAAGCAGTACGAGGTCCGATTTTCAGTTTGTATTCTATCTCTTATCTTTTTTTGTAATCACATTTTATATTACAAGTTGTCATACATTCGATACGTTTCCTCTACTGGAATAACTATGATTTCCACGGGCAAAGGTTTGTTTCGTGGTCCCTCGGTTATCCTGTGCTCTACTCTTATCGTAATAAGAACCTGACCTCCGGAAAATTATCACCAAGCTACAGTTCTCAGCCACTCAAGATGAGGGAAGGCTCACAGATGCAATGGGAAGGGTCTTAGGCTGGTGTCAGAGTCCGCGATCCGTCGCAGGTTTCGCTGATTTTCGCGATTTGCGCGATTCACGCGACGGGTCACGGAAATCACAAGTGCCCGATCAATACTGCAAGGTGTTCTCCAATCCTGCCGCCACTTCTGCTTGATAGTGATGGCTGAATGACGACTGCTCATGATTCCACTTGTTTCATATTCAGTGTTTCAAATACTTGCAATTTTTGCGATCCGTCGCGTGAATCGCGCAAATCGCGAAAATCAGCGAAACCTGCGACGGATCGCGGACTCTGACACCAGCCTTATGTTTTTTGAGCTATATAAGTCAGCTTAAGGGGAAAAGCTTTCATATAGGGAGCTGCCGTACTCGAAATGTACCTCACGTAACTCTCGATAAAGTTTCCCGCAAAAAATGCTTCAAATATTTGTTTTTAATAGTTAAGGAGGATGAATAGTGAAATGCTCGACTGTTTCTTGGCATGTGTACATTGTTTCCGCTATTTAACATCTCTAGCAGGAGTGATATTATCTTACTTGTAGTTTTTTTTAGGGAATCGTTGCCCATTTTGGGTTTTCTCACCATATTAGCCATTTCGCACTAAATTAGCTTCAGATTCTTGGAAAAATCTGCTTCGAATTCGAAAACCAGGCGGACCAGCCACCATCCTCAACAAAAGATGGAAGTAAACCGGTGAGTAATGGTAAAAATATTTATAATCATGTGGGAGTTCTCTTGAACCGAATGTTAGAGTTTTACCTTTTTTCATCGCTTACCTTTATTAAATGTTAAGGATGATGGCAGTGGTATTCCTGATATGTCCAATTTTGAAACGCTCGGAAAACTTCTTGTTGAATTACAAAATTATGGCTATCCTCCAAAGGAATTGACAGGAGAACTCCCTCCCGGTGAGTGAACTTTTTTGTAAAAATTTTATCCATCTCATAATTCGCGTGATCTCTTAATCTTTAGGTTGGACTGTTGATGACAAAACTGGTTTACCAAAAGTGGATGACGTATCCGCCGCTGCGAATGCCTGTACACTAATGTGATTGAACATTTATTTATTTTTGTAGAAAGTGTTCCATATTTTCAGAGTTCTAGTGTTTAATCAATAATCCATTGTATAGATTGTGCTCATTATATCTTCTAGTCTAGTAGTGACATATGTGGCATTCAGACAATCATTGTTGTGCAAATTGTGTGAGCTTAATTCATGTTGTTTGGAGGACATCACTGTTCTATAGGATCCGTCATAGTGCCTTCTGTTTCAGTTATATTAGTGACTATTATAAATTGATTAAGTTTGACGGTGTTATTTACGTCAAGTGTAAGTTCAACGCATATTTCCGAAAAAAAATTATAGGTGGCTCGATATTTGGTTGCTCATACTGTTATTCTCTTCTGTGTTTAGTTTTCTACAATGACCGTTTCTTATTTATCAAGCGTGGATCGTGCCTATAAGCGATACGCTTGCCAGGACTATGACAACATAGCCTACCTGCATCATCCCAGTGGTGTCAGTGTTGTTGTTTTGCGAAAAGTAAGTTGTTAAGCGTGATTGAGTAGGATTACATTGTGAAGAATAATAAGCACGTTTTGATCGCGAACTTGGAGAGACTCATTGTGAGAGTATCGATTTCATCTTCTAAGATTCGACTTATTTTGGTTTTCAGTAGGAGGTGGACGAATAATCAACGCTTGAGTTATTTTGTAGCTTGGTCATCTGTGAATTATACTCAAAGTATTTTTAATGAGCAAATGACTCGAGATTGGAAGGGTGGTCATTGAAGCACCTCTAATATGGTGCAAGCTAAACTCGAAAAGAAAATGTGCTAGGGTGTATATGC